AAAATACTTACCAAAAGCCTGCCTCTCCTTTTGTTCCATATCTTCGAAATTCTCCTTTAACAGAGAACATATCTCTCTCCATGCTGACGACTTTAAATTTTTGTCTTTATATGTGTCAAGTGTTTTATCCCATAAAGCGGGTCTCGCTTCCACTAAACTTATCAACAGCTCCGTATTTATTTTCTCCATTGTATATATGTAGGTATATACCATAAATATGAGCAAACTATTTAAAGCCGAAAACAAGTGCCGTTCGGCAAGATAATCGAATCGCGACTGGAGGTGAAATGGCCAATATACATTGTACGTGCCACTGAAGGCCGATTCGGTTTTTTTCCCGAACACAACCGCATGCGACCATACGGTTGCCAGTGGCGCGAACCGAATGCAAGTCCGAACGAATCGGCAGTTTTCCCGTATATGGGGTACGACCGCATCGTGTGAATATGCAGATTTAAAATATTGCGCCACTGCGAGATTCGATACTTTTACCGGTTCGATTAAATGATCGTGACCGAGTCGTCTGAACGAGCTGTTACTCCTTTTTCGATGAGCACTCACTCCTCCTTCTGTTAACCCTTTGATTGATAGTATTCAAGCTCGCGATCCTTCCATTGCCATATTTACCAGTCTTATTAGCTTTTCCGAAATTTTTAAGTTTCTCTTTTTAACTGCTATTTTCTTACGTGAGATGCTGTCAAAGGCCTTCTCTTTCTAAGCCCTTGTTGATATTCCCCGATTTCTGTTTCCACGTATTACTTTAGCTTCTGCCTGGTATGAGTTGAGAGCATTTTATATGCGACGCTTAGTAAGGTTATTCTCCTGTAGCTACTACATAATGTTGGGTCTCATTTTTTAAATAACGGGATTATCCATCCTGTTCAGGTATTCGTTCCTCTTGCTATTGTAATTATTAGTGTTTATAATTCCTTCCACAGTTTTTCCCCTCCCATTTGGATTAGTTCAGCTACGATGTCATCTGGCCCTGGAGATTTCCTCCTTTCTATGGATTTTACTATATCTAAGTGTTCCTCGTGTGTCGGTGGTTCAACTACGTTATTTATATGCTACTTTGTTGTATACATTTGTTCTGTTTCATGCTCCGTACTCGTGAACAGGTTGCTATAAAATAACCCATTCTTGCTGATCGATGTTACTATTAAATTTCTGGATCCTATAGTTATTCATTATGAGTTCGAGCAGTTTGGAGTTATTGTTACTATTTCGCTCTATCTTTCTATCAACCCAATCAGTTTCCCTTGCTTTGCAACTTTTTACTGCTGCTTTCTTTTTTCGCCACAAGTTTGCAGATCTGTTTCTGCTTTTGTTGATAGCCATCTTTTCCATGCCTCGTTCTTTTCTTTAACCTTATCTTCACATTCTTCGTCAAACCACTCTTTTTCTACCTGCGTTTCTCTCCTCTCTATTGTTTCCTCCGCCGCTATCAGGATTGTTTCTCTCAGGGTTTCCCATGTTTCCTCAGTTTCATTTGCTTTCCTTTCTTCTAACTAATTATTTATCATTTCTATAGGTATATTGTTGATTGGTGTTGTCCCTATTCAGTTTTTCCAGTTTTCACTTCATCTTTTCCCGGTATCATCTAAGTTATATGCTCCTTTTTTGTGCTTGAACTTTGTGCTTGCTGAGAACGTGTTTGTTATTACTGATAGTTTTTTCCTTTTTTCATTTGTTTCGTCGTGTAGAGTCTCTTTCCCTGCTACTTTCTTGTTGTATTCTACCTTTTCAATTTTGGCGTTGAAATCTCCCAATAGAAACAATATATCATTTCTGGCTATATCTTAGCAAATTTCTTCTAGCCTCTCATAATAATTAGCTTTTTCTTCCTCAGGTGCACCCTCCGTCGGTGCGTATCCGTTTATTAAGGATATATTTGCTTGTTTGTTGTTCATTCTGATGTAAGCGATCCTGCTGTTAATTCCCTTAAATTGATTTGATTTTTATACTAACCATGAATGCTGTCCCTTTTTGTCCTTGTTTAGGCTCACCAGAATAGTAGAACGTGTACTTCTTTTTATTGATGATCCTTTCTCCTTTTTTATCCTATATCTCTCCATCTCTCTTGCTACTTCCTCCATCTTTCCTATTCTCAGCAGTGTTTTTATGTTCCATGTTCCTATCATAATGTTGTTCTTTTTCTTTGCATCCCTTTTTGTTGCTTTTCTAAAATAGTCGCAGGCCTTTGTCATTTCCGGTTTCGTCAACGATCTGTTGGCCCTCTTCAGATTCGCAGTTAGTTTTTTGAATCATCATCGCTCTTCTGAAACGATGCCGCCGGTGCATTCCTCTCTCCTTTTGCCATCTTCTTTGTATTCTCTATCATGTTTTCCGGTGACCGTGCGCTAGTTGTTCTAGCTTCCTTTTCTCTATCTTCCTCCATGCCTCATTCTTTCATGCGCTTATCCTATTCGTTATTTTCCACTGATTCTTCTCTGTATTCTTTAATTTGTTTCAAGGTAAAGCTGTCTCCATTTATTCATAGATTGTCATACTTCAAGTGTACTGTAGGCCCCACTTTGCGAATTTCATTCTTATGTCCAACTAGTTCCTTTCTCTCCTTTATTACCTCTTTTGTGTAGTCTTCATCGATATAAAATTTTAGTCCCTTTTAGTAGTATCGTTGCTCTTAAAATCTCGAATTTATACTTCTCGCTTTTCAGTTCCATTAATATCGGCCTGTTTTTACGTTTGTTATCGCTTTGCTTTCCTAGCCTACTAATTTCCATGACCTCTTCATCTACATTCAGGGAGACTAACAACTTGTTCATTAATCCTTCTATTTTTCCTTTTAGTTGCAGTTCGTCTTCATTCTTATTCTCTTCTAGACCCTGTATCACCAGATCTGTTCTTTTGCTTCCTTCTAGCGCTGCTATTCTCAGTTCTAGGTTACCGATTTTTGTTTTCAATTCCTAATTATTTTTCTTTAATGTTTCGTTTTCCTTTACTAGCCCCACCATATCCTCCTGCATTTTGTCTAGTTTGGTCTCAATTCCGGCATTTGTACCTTCTATAGTTTAAATCCCTTGCAGCTTTGTTATCTTCTCCAAATTTGCCTCCATTTTGCTGATCTCTGTGGGAGATGTTGTGCGTCGTGAATGCAGTTTATTATAGCCGAATCTTACTGCAATTCAAATCCTGGCCCGCATACACGCTAGCTTTTCTTAAGAGATCTTACCAGTACAAAAGGGCTGTAGCAAGGTCTCCAGCCGGAGAACCCAATCTGGCAACGCCGCTTTCTAATCCGACCGAGATTTATTTCGCGGGCCCGACACAGTCGATGTTTACAAAGCTTATTCGCTTACGAAAACAGCAAATTTAACGTCCACGACCACACCTGCACTTCAATAACAGCACTAGCATAGTGTTCTATCAATTTTCTCTAGTGTAACTGCGAAATTTTATGTTTTCAATTCAGATCAGCATACATCGCGTTTATCTGATTCGCGCGCGGTTGCCTATTTCTTACACTTCACACAAATAACCCTATTTGAATATACACGAGAAAGTGACTTTTTCAATTTTAGCGTTTAGTAAAAGAATTCTCTGGTAAGCTTTTGTGTATCCTTCGATGAGGGGCCTTTTCTTGTACTCAAAAAAATATAATTGTTCTAAAATATCTAATTGTTTTTGAAATACCGAGTCGATTTTTAGCTAGTTAGCTTGGTCTAATACTGGAGCAATTCCTTTACCATTTAGGCAATGCGTCAAAACAACTTTTACGACAAAGGTGACAAAAGTCGGAGTTACCCCACGTGCCACAGATTTCAACATACAGGCCACGCCTATATTAGTCTATACAGGGTGTCCGCAAAGTTGGGGTTTTCCTTTACACGACGTGTAGATCTTGAAAACATAAGCAATTTTTCTTAGTACCATATACACCAATGTCTTAAGGGAACCGAGATAAAGGGCTCTGCAACATCAAAAATATCTGAATACCGTCCTGTAGCCGCGACCAGCCGCGATATCCCAGACTGGTACCGGCTACTAGCTGAACCCGACGACAGAACTGGGTCGGGGGTCGGGGTCAGTGTGTCAGGTCAGTATGCAACCTTCAACCGATGGTAAAGGGTCACGCGTATAGAGGTAACGAACCCGTATAATCGATTGCGTTTCAAAAAAAAAAAATAATAATGGCACACTCATACACCAATAATGAACTCGTTGATATGTTGTTAATTTTTGGCGAATGTCTTCAAAATGCTACAGAATCGTCGCGAGTGTATGCAGATCGTTTCCCTAGACGACATCATCCAAGGCCCCGCAGATTTGTGTTCCTGGTCCAGAGAGCCAGGGATACGGGCCATTTGGAGAAATTTCGAGGTGGGCACAGTGGGAGGCCTAGACAACCACGAATGGTGCAAGTTGAGGAAGAACTTCTGAATCGCGTAGACGAGAATCCCTCAACAAGCACTAGAGACGTGGCTAGAGAAGTGCAAGTATCAAAAACTAAAGTGTGGCAAACGTCCAACGTGTACAAGCTCTTCAACCTGACGATTTTCCAGCAAGAGTGCGGTTTTGTGAGTGGTTGTTGCATCAACATGACAATAATCCGGACTTTTTGAAGTGCATATTGGTGACAGACGAATCTACGTTCACGCGTAATGGGGTGAATAAATTTCGATTTCAGGCAGAGACGTACTTAGCCCTTCTCGTCAACTGGAGAGTGAGTACTTTTTCCTTAATTTTTTTTTACTTGGGCGCCCTCGTTTCACTACACATTACCTTTGTTATTTCAAGGGTAGTTGTTTCTGAAAAGGAAAAAACCAACTTTGCGGACACCCTGTATGTCAGATGAAGTACCCCGTCACGCCCTGGAAGGAATACGGCGAATTACCAAGTAACCGTCTATACATATGAGTGAGGATTATCTTGACTACAAAAAATCTAAAGCTCGATTCGTACGAGGATAGTAATCGAGCAACTACGATCGATAAAATACAAAATTTGTGTATTATATCAAAATATAGACAACGTTTTGGGGTTTTACTTTACATGAGACCGTGCACGTGCCACAGTAGAGTATGTGCAGTAGATACCATATACAATAGTTATATTTACATGTTTATATATATTTATATCGTATGCTTCCTATCATTACAACGTACAACCATATTCTTCAAATATCAGGTACACACTTTGATTATTCCTACACCTTCATCACATCAGCAAAGATATTTGCAGGAAGTGCAACTCCTTCATTAGGAAAGAAATTTATTTGAGTTGCACCAACACCATGAAATAGGTTACGGTAGCACCCAGTACCTGAAATACGTATAATATTTAGTACAGTAGTCTAGCACAACTAGAATAACATGGGTTCATCAACTATTTTTTGTAGTAAACATATCGCTGGGAGGCATATCTCAAAGTGACAGGCTGTGTCTTAAAGGAGGAACAATGTTGACTGGGACAGTGCGTGGTTGGAATGCTCTATTATAAGTTTATCACTAACAATCTTTCCAAGAATGTTTTTTGCTTTCGCGGCTTGATGGTGTTTCTAGAGTAACAAAAAAGCTGCTACATTTGTTTGTAAATATACGTTTTGAAAAACTTGTTGTTCTCTGAAGAACGAAGTAAATTCAGTATAGTTTTGATTGTTTATATAAGTTGTTCAGTTTTCCTGTTACTGCATGCACTAGGTTAGTAGTTTTACTACCGAGTTCTAGTCCAAATACAAGTATACTTTATACACTACGTGAAATTAGAAGTATGCAATGACAACAATGTCAACGTTTTATCTTTGTTTATGTTTACCGTGGTTAAAATGTTATCCGTTAGTTTCTAGGAAGAAAGCAGTTTTTGAGAGCTGAGTAGTACATATACTAAGTGACATATAAATCCGAACACCCAGTTTAAATGGTTTTATTTTAATAAAATTTTGTATAAGTACTTAATAAAGCATAATAAGTAAATGATAAAAATTTCAAAATGATTGCACTGTTTTAAAGCCCTTTGACCTTTAATAATGTGTGGATGCAGCATGATGTGCTACGCATTCTCCAACGCGCCTAGGCATGCTTCTGATCAGGTGGTCAATGTCCTCCTGTGGTATCTCATTCCAGGCAACCACCAACTCATCTCGAAGTGCTTCTAGAGTCTGAGGAGGACGTTGCACATTGAGCAATCTCCTACCCATCATATCCCATACGTGCTCAATTGGGGATAAGTCGGGAGATCTTGGTGGCCATGGTAACAATGTGACATCATTATGTTGAAAGAAGTCTATTGTGACTCTTGCAACATGTGGTCGAGCATTATCTTGTTGGAAAGTTGGATCTGCCAGGGTGTCAAGATAGGGTAAAAGATGGGGTTCTAGAACTTCGTGGATATAACGCTGCGCGTTCATGTTACCTCTGATGAAGATTAAAGCTGACCTGGAACCAGAAGCTATAGCACTCCAAACCATAACTCCAACAGTGTTATGAACATGTCTTTCAACAAAAAACTGTGGATTCCTCCTTTCACCACGTCGCCTTCTAACCCTGGCACGACCATCATGCATGCCTAAACAAAATCGAGACTCGTCACTAATGACAATACTGTTCCATTCCTGATCCCAGAGTGACCACTCAAGGCGATTACGTCGGTGTTCTCGAGTTAAAGGGAGGACCCAGTGTGGCCGGTATGAAAACAAGCCAAAACTTCTCATTCGTCGGTAAACACTTCGCATGCCAATAGGTCTTCCGTGTTCTGCAAACCTTTCATTTGCAATGGACCTGGTAGTGGAGAAACGGTCCCTTAAGGCCAATAATCTCAGGCGGCGATCTTCACGGTCTGTTGATCTACGGCGGCGTCCAGTGCCCCTTGCTCTTTGTGTACGGCCTTCTAGAAGCCATGCCTGATACCACAGTGTCTACACTTCTTTGCACTCTAACTGCAATTGCCCGAAAAGAAAGTCCAGCTTCCCGAAGTCCCACTATACGGCCCCTATCAAACTCACTAAGTTGACGAAATCGTACAGGTCTTCGTACTCTATGCATCGTAACCGATCGTAAAGGATGTCAAGAACCAAAATCCGCCAACGTTGATTCTTTACTGCGGCTGAAATATTCATTTTTAGAGCGTTAGTGAATTAAAAAAAAGCAGTATAAAAACCGGAATGTCCAACTGATAAGGCTGAAAATTTTTTCACTTGTTATTTACAGTAAGATAAATACATTCACCAACTTTTATTAAAATAAAACCATTTAAACTGGGTGTTCGGATTTATATGTCACTTAGTTTATATTTTTTGTCATTGTGCTTTTATTTACCGCGGAGTCGCCCAACATATTCCGTAAGAATGTTATCGTTTTATTTTTGATGTAAGACTACCTCATTGCCAAAAAAATCAAGTTGTTACTTTTTCTGGGTGTAACACTTCTAAAGTGATTAGGTATATTTTTCGGAACCGCTCTTTCTCTTAATTGCAGGTTTTGTTGTCAGTTTTTTGTATTATTTTTTCGGTAGTCCTAGCTTTTCGCCTTGCTGTTTTTTGCAAGATTCAATATAGTCGCTTTTATTAGTTTTATTTTTTACATCTCTTGTTTGATTTCACTTCTAACGTTGTTACTTGTTGTATCGTCAGCCCTCGATGGGGAGTTGGTGCAAGCAGAAGAAGCTACTTGATCCAAAACAACTGTATGTTATAAAATCAATTGTAGTTCAATTCTACGAACTATTTTATAAGATTTTAATGTTTTCAAGTTAGTAATGATTGAAGTTTTGCATGTGTGTTTCACATAACTGAAGATATTTGAATAAATACTGGTCTTCAATAAAATAACTCAAAAGAGGCGCAATCGATCCTATACATCATACATTTCCTTACCGATGCGAACAGATCCAAAGAAATTGTGAAAAACTTGGCTCCAGATATCGACATGGCTTTCTGGCATTGCTGACAGACAATCTGTACAAACGTTTTGGCCTCCTCGGAACCATCGTACCAATGGCAGCTGTAGGCTGCTTCCATAACTGAAGAGCTCTGTGAAAAAATGTTGTGGATAAGTACACGTGCAATGCGTAAAATCTCAGTACCTTTGTCAAAAAAATTATTAACATGAAAAATGGAATGAGTTTTTGAATAATGTGTACATTGCAATATACTGGGTGTTTCCGATCCCGATACAAGTCTTTTAAGAGCTGGTAGCATATGGAACACACTAAGTCACCTATACCTTAGGGGCCGTTCAAGTATTACGTGAACACTATGACGGGGCGAGGGGGTCTTTGCTTTGCTTATTTATAGCAAACAGGTATTTACTAAATTTTAAGTTGCGTAAAAAACTATGTGAAGCATTGGTCATATCTATACTAAATTATTGTAATATCGTATACTGTACTTGTTTAGACAATTTCACTAAAAACGTTATTCAAGTTATTCAAAACAATTGTATACGATTCATTTTTGGCTTACGTAAATTCGATCATGTATCAGCGAAATATCCCATTCTAAACTGGTTAAAAATTAACGACATGGTCAAGTATCACTATTCAGTTTTTGTTCACAAGTTGCTGCTCACGTCTAAACCTTATTACTTGAAGGAAAAAATTTCATTTAATAATGATGTTCACTGTAGAACTCTCAGAGAAAATAATATTAGAATACCCCTGCATACGTCTACACTTTTTAAACGCAGTTTTTCTTACAATGTTGCTATTATTTATAATGACCTTCCTAAAGTATATAAAGAATTTTCATTACCTGTCTTTCGACAAAAAGTTAAAACATTATTACTCAACCCTCCAAACATATAATTTACATAATCATTCATTTCTTTTTTATTCCATCTTTAATTCAGATTAATAATTTTTTGGTGCATTTGGGTTTGGAAAGTATGCCTTTTTCTCTTTTTTTAAATTTTACTTTCGATGTAATGAACCAAATCTGTTTGTGGATAGTGTATTCTTTTGAACATCTGCTAGAGACTATATGGTTAAGTGTAAGAGTAGCAGCATGCTAAACTTCGCCATGTAAGTCTGACATTTGGCTATACTACAATGTAATTGTGGATAAATAAAGACGTCTATTATTATTATTATTATTTTGGATGATTACGTCATCGGTAGTTATTTACTTTTTTACACGAATGGCAACCCTCACATTGTCTTTGCTTGAAAACGAAACGCATTTTCGGGGATTCCCGCAAATAATGCATACGTTTAGTGAACAGCGCGCGGTAATTCCCCTACTCGCTTTAGAACCGAGTAGGGGAATTACCGCGCGGTGTTCACTTGTCTAAATTTCCTCTATCAGTGTATTGTTTCGTTTGGATACTATAGCGAGTTGACGTATTGTAAGCATAGTAAAGCAAGTTAACATTTGTGTTACCATTGATTCCATTAGCCAAAGTTTAATGTTTAAATAAGATGTAGTTTCACATAGACAAATCCAAGTTATACCAAAAATTGTTTGAAAGTTTTAGAAAATCTCATACAAGTGCGAAAGTACAAAATGTACAAAAGTTAGTTAACGAAGTGTGGCGAAATTACAAATTACAAGCAAAATCCGACAAGGAACTAGATATTATTGTATCTAAGAGAATCAATGAAGAATTGCAAGCGGCAACTAAGAATAAATCCAATCTACTAAATTAATACTAAAAACTAACACCCTGTATTTTGTGACCGGAACGAATTGCTTGTTTAAACATATTAGGTTTAAAGCCATAGGGTTTTGTATTTACCATACATATTGCCATACTTTGTATTTATGTAGCTTAATAAGAGAATCTTTAGCAGAAGCCATAGAAAGTTTTTATTTTTAGGCAACCTGTAAACCTGCAGAAAAAACAAATTATACAGTCAGCTTCAAATATTAAAAAAGAGGAAGAAGATAAAATAAAACCCGGTAATGAATCACAACAGCAATGCGAAATCAATGAAAATACAGATAAACAGAGAGCAAAACCTCAGGAAGCTATGAAAAATAAGATAGCTCTACTCTAAAAAAATCTGAATGCTTTGTATTCTACCAGACATACTATGCCAAGCCGTGCTGAAGTTGATAAACAGATCATTAAGTTGCGTGAGGAAATAAAAACAGCAAAACAGTCTTTAAACAGGAAGGTTCAAAACGTAGTTGCCCAGAAGAAACACAAGGCTGGTATGAAAAGAAAGTTAGAAGATATTTGTCATGAAAATCCAGAAATAAAAAAATACTAACTCGGAGGAATTAAGTGGGACGTCCTAGCCTTGAAAGCAATCAACATTCACTATTGAAAACAATCGCGGATAAAGCTTTATTTGGACCAGATCAAGTATTTTTCATATCTCAAGATGATAAAGACCGAGTCCCTATTGGCGTAACTGCGGCAAATAAGCAAGCACCTCTTCAAATGCACCTGGAATATAGAATCAAATTGCCTGATCACGATTGGGTAATCACTGAGCGTCATAAATTAATACGATCTGTTTATGCTGGTATCAAAATCACTTCCAATATGCTAGGACAACCGCAAGCCGTTGGATATTCTGGACCAACATACATCGCTATTCGAAGTGGAAAGCATAGTTCATCTACTGCTAATACTCATGCTCAGGATTTCGAGACGCTTCTCGAACTTGAAGAGCTTCGACCATTAGCTAAAACTGACCATGGACTAGTAAAACCAGTGGTAATCATGACGGTTGATGGAGGGCCAGATGAAAATCCACGTTATCAAAAAGTCATAGGGTTTGCTATACAACACTTTAAGCGACATGATCTCGATGCATTGTATTTAGCTACCAATGCTCCTGGAAGAAGTGCGTATAACAGAGTAGAGCGCAGAATGGCTCCTCTTAGTCGGGAACTGGCTGGTTTAATATTGCCTAATGACCATTTTGGGTCTCATTTGAATGAACGTGACGTTACAATTGATGAACATTTAGAAAGATCTAATTTCGAATTTCCAGGAAATGTATTAGCTGAAGTATGGAGTTCAATGGAAATTGATGGCTATAATGTTAATGCAAAATATATTGGGGCAGGTGAACAAGATCTTCCTGATTTTCCAGACACTAAATGGTATTCAAAACATGTGCGTGAGAGCCAATACTTGCTTCAAATTGTAAAATGTAGAAATACAGAATGCTGTCGTCCAAGAAGTGGCCTATTTAGATTTCTAGACAATAGGTTTCTTCCACCACCTGTAAAAGTAAAACAAACAGTTGATGAGTTGGTTTTGGATGAAGGAGGGCAATTTCTTAATCTTCCAAAATCCGATGAAAGCGAGCAAACTCACAACACTAAGCAGCAATCGAAGCAATCCAATGTCATCGAAAACTTAGAATCAACCAAAAATTTAAAATAAGTTTGTTATGTTAGTAAGATATAATATTTTTGTCCTTTACTCTATGTTGAATACCGTATCAGTAAAACATAATCTCTATCCTAAAACTATTTTCTTATTTTTCAAATTATAATTATAACGTTATAATTATAATATTAAAAAAAAACAATACATTAATTGACAAATGTTTACGTAAACATGTGGGGAGGGGGTAAGAGCTTTGCTTACAAGGGGGATGGGAGGGTAAATAATTGTAATAAATCTGCTTACGTAATACTTGAACAGCCCCTTATTGCGAAATTGAACGGTTTTAGGTCACGCCCAATTTTGTAAAATCATAGAACTTTTTAATTCTTTTTTTACCGTTTATTAATAAATAGTTTCTATGTTATCTGAAGTAGGCGGCAAGTTATAGAAAATTATCCTGGTTTATCCAATGATTGTATTTTACAGTACAACATAGTGATTTAAAAAATCAGTGAATAAACTATTTCTGCTCCTTCTTAAGATATATCATACGAATTGACACAACAATTTTTTACTCAATATCACAAAGAATTACAATGAGCAGAATGCCATCAAACTTCACTTGATGATTTGAATTATTGCGAATTCATTTTCTCAAAAAATGATCGCTTAATGTGTAGTCTAGTAGTATGTGTATAAGAGTGGGAACGGTCTTGCTGGGAGACTCGTTAAAGTAACCCTCGTAAGTATGCGCAGTGCAATAGGCTGCTGCAATTCAATTCAATTGAATTCAATTATTTTCCATAGACAGACAATACTGTATAGGAACTGTCAGTTAATAAGCCCTAAGACTAAAAAATTAAAGTAATTAATAAGGTTTAACTGTTAAAAACTTCAGAAACTACAAAACTATAAAGACTCTGACAGACTGTAGAAACTGTTTCTTAAATGATTTCTTACTGATTTTTACTTTTATATACGATTAATCTGGCAGACGATTGAACATTTTCGGTCCCATTACAGTGGGCGAACTTGTAGTTGTATTATATCTGGCAAATGTGACTATCAATGAATTTTTTTGTATTGTAGTTATATCGTGTGTACTACCTACTAATGGAAATCTTTTTTTATAGTCAAACACGTAAAACATTACTGTAAAATATATAGGCACGTAAGAGGTAAAATTTTTAAAATTTTAAAACTGCTTAAGCATGACTCAGCGTTAGGGATACCAACAATACTTCTAACAATCTTCTTCTGTGCTATGAAAACATTCAAAGCATGGGTAGAGCTACCCCATAAGCAAATTCCATAACGGAGTAGAGATTCGACCTGCGCGTAATAAACTGATATTATTTGAGGTGAATTTAATACTGTACATGGGTTTCTGAACATGAAAATAAGCGAATTTAATTTAGTTGTTAACTTTTCACATTGAACCTTCCACGGTAACGCGTCTTCAACGTGCAGGCCCAAGAATGTGACTGAATTGCACTGGTTCGTTTGAAGTATTGTGCTGCCAACCGTGATGTGTTTATCACCAATATGATTCTGAATATTATGGAATTTTGTTTTCTCTAAATTCGTGTAAAGGTCTAAGTCATGTTGTTGTGACCCAAGCTATTCGCAAAGCCAGCAGTTGGAGAACTCCTGGACCAGATGAAGTTCAGAACTTTTGGCTGAAGACATTTACAGAGGTCCACAGAAACCTTGCCAAGGCATTCAATAGCATCCTCAATAAGCCTAAATGCTTACCTCAGTACTGGACAAAGGGCACAACTTACATGCTGTATAAGAAAGGATCAGTAAGAGATCCTAAAAATTACAGACCGATCACATGCCTTTCAACTGTATATAAACTGCTTACATCAGTGTTGAGTGATTCGCTCTATAATTACTGCGAGCAGAATGAAATACTGTCGATTCAGCAAAAAGGGTGTGTGAGGAATTCATCTGGCTGTAAAGATCAACTCGCCATCGATGCTATAATTTTGGGGCAAGCTACTAAAAGTATTAAAAATGTACAAATTGTGTCCCAAAATAATAAGCATTATGCAGCATGCGATGGAAAAATGGAACACAGATATATGGGTTAGTCAAGAGGACATAGGTAGCATCGATATACGCAGAGGGATTTTTCAATGCGACTCTTTGAGCCCCCTCTGGTTTTGTCTTTCGTTAAACCCACTTTCCACACTTTTGAACGATTCTATGCTTGGATACCGACCAAAGATCCAAGATGAACAACGCTGGTCACATCTCATGTTCGTTGATGATATTAGGCTATATGCAGAACAAAAATCGCACCTGTAATCGTTAATAACAACTTGCAAAAACTTTAGCCAGGACATCCGAATGGAATTTGGTTACGATAAATGTGCAACAATCTCCCTCAAGCATGGCAAACACTCGAAGGAACAATTTAATGACTTCCAAAACTTGGATGAGCACGATACATACAAATATCTTGGCATTGATCAGAATCATCACTTCGACCATACAAAGCTCAAAGCTCTGTCCGAGGAGAAATATAAAAAAAAGAGTAACCGAATTACTTAATACGAAATTGAAAGCAAAAAACCTGTTTTGTGCTATCAACTCTTGGGCAGTACCAGTCTTGGTATTTTAAAGTGGAGTTAAACAGACCTTGAGAAACTAGACAGACTTACGCGCACACTTTTAACAAAATTTAGGTTCCTGCATCCAAGAGATCCAAAAAATTACATACCGATCACATGCCTTTCAACTGTATACAGGGTGACTTCGAAGTTGAGTCATTTATTTTAACAGTGAGTAGATCTGATCAAAAGAAATGTTTTTTCCTTTAACATTTTTCTGGTAAAATTAAAGTAACAAACTTATAGCCCTTTAGATGTTTGAGTACCGCCCTGTCTCAATAATAATATTATGTGCCCGTGTTTGGCAACAACGGATATAATCCGCATAGGTTCATCGCATCGGAAACAAAAAAGCGAAAGAATTTGAAACGCTTATCACGATGTTTTTAGTTGTATTCAGTCGGTAACGCGTGAGTGAATAGTGGTATTTGTTGCGTGGCTCAAACGAAATAAAAAATGGCACATGTTTACGAAAATGCTGAACTTGTGTGTGTTTACGGGGGGGAGGGAGTCTTTACAAAATCGGTTTCCCAATCGAGTGCACCAACCCCTCGTGCCTTTGTTAATGTAGTACAAAGGGCTCGTGAATCAGGTGACTTAAGACCTCACAGTGGAGGACATGCCGGTGCTCCAAGACCGCACGATCAAATGCAGGTCCGCACTGAAATACTTGTCGGGAGGATACTTTATAAAACAAGGTAATTTTTTTTTTAATTTTTTTTTATTTTTACACACATATTTTGGTTTATCTTCCTTCTACAATCACTATCTGAAAATTAATGACTCAACTTCAAAGTCACCCTGCTTACATCAGTGTTGAGTGATTCTCTCTATAATTACTGCGAGCAGAATGAAATACTGTCGATTCAGCAAATAGGGTGTGTGAGGAATCCATCTGGATGTAAAGAACAACTCACCATCGATGCTATAATTTTGGGGCAAGCTACTAAAAGTATTAAAAATGTACAGATTGTGTCCCAAAATAATAAGCATTATGCAGCATGCGATGGAAAATGGAACACAGATATATCGGTTAGTCAAGAGCACATAGGTAGCATCGATATACGCAGAGGGATTTTTCAATGCGACTCTTTGAGCCCCCTCTGGTTTTGTCTTTCGTTAAACCCACTTTCCACACTTTTGAACGATTCTATGCTTGGATACCGAGCAAAGATCCGAGATGAACAACGCTGGTCACATCTCATGTTCATTGATGATATTAAGCTATATGCAGAACAAAAATCGCACCTGCAATCGTTAATAACAACTTGCAAAACCTTTGGGCAGGACATCCGAATGGAATTTGGTTACGATAAATGTGCAACAATCTCCCTCAAGCATGGCAAACACTCGAAGGAACAATTTAATGACTTCCAAAACTTGGATGAGCACGATACATACAAATATCTTGGCATTGAACAGAATCATCACTTCGAACATACAAAGCTCAAAGCTCTGTCCGAGGAGAAATATACAAAAAAGAGTAACCAAATTACTTAATACGAAATTGAAAGCAAAATACCTGTTTTGTGCTATCAACTCTTGGGCAGTACCAGTCTTGGTATTTTAAAGTGGAGTCAAACAGACCTTGAGAAACTAGACAGACTTACGCGCACATTTTTAACAAAATTTAGGTTCCTACATCCAAACTCTTCCGTACACCGGTTGTATCTACCAAGAATAGAGGGAGGAAGAGATCTACTAAATATATCAAAATTATGCAGGACTCAAGAGCATACCATGACCGAATACTTCGGTGGATCAACTCAAGCACTGATACAACAACTAGTTGAAGTGGACGATTCTTATACACCCCTACAATTATTAAAAGGGAGAAATACCACGTCTGACAGAATTCAAGCGTGGAAAGAAAAAACTTCACATGGAAAATATCCAGTGGACCTGAACAAGACAACTGTCGTCAAAGAACAATCATTAAGATAGCTGAAAAGCGGCTATCTACACCCAGAAACTGAGGGTTTTATCGCTGCTATGCAGGACGGGATTATGAGAACTAAAAATTATGAGAAATGTATCCTGAAACTTCCGCAAGAAGACCGATGTCGAAGGTGCAATAAACCTGGAGAATCAATTGAGCACATAGCCGCTGGGTGTTCAGCACTATCGGAGACAGAATATCTGGGTAGACACAATGCGGTTGCGAAGATTATCCACCAGCAGCTGTCTCGTAAGTACAACCTATCTAAACTGTATCCATCGAAGAAACAAA